ATATATAAATTTAAATTAAATATTACTAATACTATTCTTTTGTATCCAACTAAACATTAATGCAGTAGTTGTATTTTAAAAATATGGTGAAAACTCACCAATATTTTGTGACAATTTATTCGAATTAAAGCATTGTCAGCAATATCTTCAAAAAATTCATCTTCACCTGATGTCGATAAACTATCACTGCTTAATTCATCACTTAACTCATTGTTTAATTCATCGCATGAATTAATACTATTGCTAGAAGTTTTAGAAGTAAATTCTTCACAAAAATTATATTTTTATCTAATTCTTCTGAAGAATATATAGCAGATTTATTATTGTTTTCTTCAAAAGAATATTCGTTAGATTCTTCATAATACTCCTTTGATTAATCTGAAGAATATACAGAAGGGTCTAACTGCATCATAGAACTTTCTGAAGAATTTTGTTTTAAAGGTTTAGAAGTATTATAAGAAAACCTTTGTCTTAATAAAAAAATTTATTATTTTTATCATTGTTTGTTCCAAATTTATTATGCAACATGTTTATAAAATGATTATAGAGAAAAGAAATATTTGATAAAATAAAAAGAAAGAAAGAGATATTTAATAAACTAGAAAGAAAAATAAAATAACTATCTTTATAACTTGTAAAAAAAAAAAAAAAAAACAATTGAGTAAAAAATGCGAACTTTTATTTTTTTTTTATTTTTTTTTTTTAATATTAAGGTGACCACTTAGGTCCCTGGCACTTAGCTTTATTTAGATAAATACGATATTTCATTAATTTCACGAGGATACAACTAGCCACACGTGTACTTTTGGTAACTAATTTAAGTAGTCTGCCTGGGTTCTACACTAGCCGCTATACCTGCAACCTAACTAGGAGATTAACTATTTAAGCTCTCTGATTATTAACTAATGAAAGTACGACTAGCCATACATGCAACTTTTGGTTGCCTATTTAAGTAGTCTGCCCTAGATTCTACACCAGCTGCCATACCTGCACCCAACTATGTGGGATACTCATTTAAATCTTCTGGCTTACATTTCTGTAACATGCTTTATCCTAACACCCTTATGGGATTAGCAATGCCAAATAGGACCCTAAGACTTTAGCTATATACAGGCATTTATCCTTGTAGTAAATCTAACAGAATGGTACATGTCCCACACATGTACTCACCTGCGTGTTTAGTAACTTTTTCCCAACTAGTACATGTTGTGCTGCCGCTACTGGGTCCGTATCTCAAGCTATCGTTTCAGATACTGCCGTAACCTGGTTTGTATCTCAAGCCACAACCTTCCTAATTAATTCCCACTTATGTACTCCTGCCCTTGCAAGGTTCACAACAAACCCAGTACCCACGTTCCAACTTCCTTCTTTCCTGGATTCCTTACAGGTCCCTCCCTTACTTCCAGCCGGCAACCCAGAAGGGTCAGTCTGCACAGGCTTTAGGTGCCTTAGAGTCTTCCTTCCCTTGATACATGCTTCCAGAGCACATGTCCTTTGCCTCCAGTTTGGCGACCCAGCGGTCAACTGGTGTGTCCCCCTTCTTAAAGACTTGGTCGCTCAGTTCTCCAGTCTCAGTATTTGGTTCCAAATTTAGTCTTCCTATAGCACCGTCGAAGATCACTGCTACTCCCAACTCGGGACTTGCCAAATGGGTTTTTAGTAATTCCAGTTTTCTGGATTTATTACGCCGAAGCTCCCATTCGAGATGGTGTGACCAAGATTACAGATATCTGAATCCAACTGATAATCTTAACGTTAACCAATACAGATCTAGTTTTTTCAAAATTGTCGTCCATGGGATTCAAACTCTAGACCTGCCATTTGGGGGTGTGACAACTCCACCACTTCACTAAGTCATCACACCCTTTGTTACAAAAAATTTATTGTAACCTACAATTACAAATTAATTAATCTTTTAATTTAAGCTAATAATATATTATTTTTATATTAGCAACTGTGTTTAAATATTATTAAATGACTTATTGTACATAATATTTATCTAACTATAAATAAATTTAAAGATACGACTAAGGAATATCTTTCTAAAAAAAAATTCAAATTCTATTTAACTATAAAAGATTTAGTTTAAAATATATATTATAAAAATAAACTTACAAAACCTGTAAATGTTTTATAATATTTGATTAAAAATTACTATATATCACTAATAATGATTATCACAAGTCCTAAAATTTGTTAGAGTTAGGATTAGAAATTAGAGAATTACTTTTTTTTATATAATATAATATAGAGCTAATATAAAGTTCCAATTTTAGTTTTTGTAAGGTTTTTGGGAGTTCTGAATATTTTTACTTAGAATACCTAATCCTGTTTACTTAGTATATTTTTGAGATATAGCAATACCAGTGATAATTACCAGTAGTGATAAATAGCTAAATTCTATTTGATTTAGTTTGAATTAATTCAAATAGAATAGCTTATCATTATTATATTTTAGTTGATTTGGTATTTTTTTATAAATTTTTATACAATCTATATTTTTAAATACATTTTTCTTATTTAAATTATTTTGAATTATTTTTATAAATATTACTCACTGATCTAATTAGGAAGGTTGTGGCTTGAGATACGAATCGGGTTACGGCAGTATCCGAAACGATAGCTTGAGATACGGACCC